ATATTCTGGGATATATATTTATAATTTATTTGGAACATAATAAAAAATAAATTTTGGAATATAAGTATAAAATAATATAAAATATAAAAAATTAAAAACTAAAATATATAATATAAAAATATGAAAATTTAAAAATATAAATATTAAATATTAAATTAAAATAATTTGAAAAAATTATTAACTAAGATATGTGTCAAAAATTTCGTCAAATACTATGAGAAGCCATAAAAAATTGCCAGAAAAGCCATTAGAAATTCTGTTTAAAATACTATTGAAAATGCTATTGAAAATTTCATCAGAAGTTTCGTCAAATACTTCCAACCGACCACTTTCATGGTCCCCATGAACTTTATTTTTGATAGAATTTTTTTTTATCAACAAATTTTGTCCGGTGGAAATTTTTTGAAGAAAAGCTTTTTTCACCAAAAATTGTTTCCAATAGCTATTTTTACGACTGTATTGTGTTTGTCGAAAATTTTGTTAAAAATGTACATTTTCAACAAAAATGATACATTTTTTGACAAAAATTATTCTGTAAAAATCCCTTCCTTTTTTGTAATGAAATTTTAATTATTTTCCCTTAATATAAGGGAAATTAGGGAAGGGTAAAATTTTCGGAATTTAACAATTGAAATGAGGTATTTAATTTAATTTTTTTAAAAAAATAGAATTTAAGCTATTTAAAAAGAAATATTCAAACTCAAAATATGAACTTATTTTTTGTCCTTTTCTAATTCCTCCACTTCTTCTCATTTATGAATGTGGATAAGTGTGACCCGACTTTGAAGATATAATTCAAAGTCTCCCATCGCTTGAAAGGACCCACTCGTTGTGCCAAACCTCTGCAGAATAAAAGTCAAATTTGTTTGCGCTTTGGAGAGAGAAAAATGGCTTCACACGGGGAACAAGATTGACACTTCACACAAGATCGTATTCTCACTTATGAATGTGAATACGAGTGAACAGACTTTTAAAATACAATCCAAAAATTTTCTATCACTGGAATGCAACCATTCATTGCACCAGACATCTTGCAGCATTATAGAGAGAGAAAGAGAGAGAGAGAGAGAGAGAGCCAGATGGACATTTCACGTGTTGACGTTGATATTGATATCGCAATATTGTAAAAACAAGTATAAATGAAAGTTAATACCGCAAAAATGTGAATTAATTTTTTTAAATAGATATTTTCTCCAAATAAGTAACTGTGTTAAGATATTTTTAAGCCGTTTAAAATATATTTTGATTTTAAGTAATTGTAAATAAGTCGTGTACGTATATATCTAAATCGAAGAATTTATAAAAAAAATTAAAAATATATAGATAATGTTAAAACAAATTCTAAATTTGGAAAATTAATTAAGAGTTTAAAATAAAAAATAATATTGAGTAACTGTTTTAAAATGATAATTAATTTTTAGGAATTAAAACATAAAATATTTATAGAAAAATAATAGCGTGACATTTTTCACTTTGTTTCTCACGTGAGTAATAGATTTGGTTTCAAATTTCTTGAAGAGAAAATTGTACGTTTAACTATTTGAATCTTTTGCACTTCTTCAATTTGCTATTTGTTCAGTTTTTCCAATTTTTATCTCAAAAAATTTTATAAGTTTGAAGATATTTCCTGCAACTTTTGCCCTTCCCTAATCGTGTTTTGAGTGGCTAATTGTTTATAAATTTTTTAAAATTTTCAGCTTCTTTCTATGAATTAATTTTCTTATTTTTTATTAAAAATTATAAAATAATATTTTTTTATGAAAATAAAATACCAAATATATTTACAATTTATTAACTTAAATTTTTTGTAATATACCTAACTTTTGTATTCTTGCCCCATCTATAACTAAATCCTAGGTCCATCACCAAGTGTATTTCGTTTGAATTGTTGTTCACACAGTAACATAGTAGTCTTAAATTTTATTTTTTAGTGTTATTAATTATTTACAATATTTTAAAGTAAAAAAGTGCTTGTCATTTTCTCTTCTTTACATTATTCCACATTTCGTGAATTCAATATGGATTTTGTCGCATTATTCAGTTGTTTCTGCTTGCTAGAAAGTATAAATCATTTTCGAGATTTTTTATTAGGGGGATTACAAAGTAATTGAATGTCTAATATGTGAGAAGAGGGGAACAGGAATCAACCTGATTATACTTTCCTTTTTGTTTCAAAAATCCAAAATTTAAAAATATTTGGAAAAAAATAAAACTTACTAATATTTTTTTTTTATTTTTTGGGAAAATTTAACAATGATTATTTTCAGACAATTGAGACGTGTTTTCAAGATAAATTTTTTCATCATGTGTTTTTTTTTTGGGTGTTTAGTTTATAAGTCAAGACAACTCATACCGTTTATTGACCTGAGCATCTATTCTTCACCCTTCTTTCTATTTTTTATTTTAGAAAATTGAAGTAGCAACTTAAGAGTGTCTTGTAAATGTCCGTACGGCAAGTTAGCTATTAGTTATTCCTATTCTGAAGTCCCAGTCAGCCAAAAAAATAAAAATAAACATATAATATTTTGAAAATACAAAACCCTCAAAGCATTAGAAATGATTATTTATAACAATGATAATACCAATTAAAGTCATGTAAGATTGTTAATGGGTCGGATCTTAATCAAAATTCAATTTGAATTTAATTCAAATTTTATTATTCAAATTTGATTAAAAATATTCGATATATCAAATTTGATTATAAATATTTTTAATTAGATATAAGTGGATCGGAAATAGAAATAAGTAATTTAATCTGTTAAAAATTCGAATGTGAATTTTAATAATATTTTTATTAAATTAATAATTTTATATATAAAATTTTAGTAAATTCAAACTTGTTAAAACTAAATTAGAAAAATTAAAAAATTTAAGAATTAAAATAATTGATAAAATACAATTTACAAAATTAAAAATAAAAATAACACTATTTTTTATTGGATCAAATTTTGTGGTTAGATTTTAAATTATTAATTAAATTTAAATATATTAATAATATAAAGTTTATAAAATTTTGATATTTAATTTAAACATTTAACTGATTAATCAAATTCATAGCCGTATCTAGATTCAGATTTTTCTTATTTAATCGAAACGCGTTGCCCAGCAGCCGCCGCCGCGAAAAATGCCGTGACAACTTTGGTTGCTTGATAGCCGACTAAGTCGCAAGGTGGTGCCAAACCTGACGTTGATGAGTATGACTATGTCATTATCTGAGATGGGCTTAGGCCTAGGCACTGCTATGAAAGGGAACAAATTAGGCTTAGGCCCCATTTGACACCGGCTCTGGCCCCTCCTTGGCTCAGCTGTGTCAGCAGGGGTCCTTTCCTCTCGGGTTGAAGATTGTGCCCTTGTCATACTATGAAAATAAAATGGTTTCTTTTAGATTCACGTGACACTTTCCAAAGGTTTGTCAATCTTTGGATAAGTTAAAATGAAAATTTATTTCATAAATTTAAATTTATACATTTAAAATTACTTTTAAAATAACAACTTTTTTAACAAATATTAAGATTTGATAACACACACGTATATGTATAGAAAATTAATCTCTGCAGGGGCTTGCAAGGCCAATTTTTTTTATTTTTTTAAATATACAAATTATGTAATTAAATTTACTTCAATAGACAATTTTTTTGAATAAATTAGATATTTATTATTATTTTTTCAACTTTTTCTCAGCTTAGTTTATTGAAACTCATTTTTCTCAGAACCATTTTATTTAAATCCTAGCTTTCCCAAATTCACCTTATTTACACCTGTTTTATTCTAATTCACCTTCTTCAAACCCACCTTTGTCAAACTCACTTTTCCGAAATTTACTATCAAACTAGACTTTTATGAGGCACCACAAAGGGTCTCTTGAGGGTTTTTAAAAGCTCAAATCACGTGGTTTAAAAAATAAAAATTCAAGTTTCTAGACTTTTTAAATTGTTTTTATATTTTAAAAATTAATTTTAAATATTTGAGTTTTTTAAAAAAAAGAGGATTAAAAACTTTCAAAAATTTTCATATTCAATATTCTCTAAGTACATAAAATTGAAGAGGATATGGTATTATGTGTTTAATAATTTGACTGTTTTTTAAATATATATAGGAGATATGTATAAAATTTAAAAAATTATAATTCATCTCATAACATAACTCAAAATCGTGACCAATTCACAATGTCTAGGGATGTGCAAAATTAAATTAATTAATTAAATTAAATTAAACCAAATTAAAATTTAAAATTTGGTTTAGTTTTTAAATTTAGTTTGGTTTGATTGAGTTTAAAAAATCCAAAATTATGGTTTAGTTTGGTCTAAAAACTAAATCAAACCATTTTAAAACCAAAAACCAAAATTTAAAAAATATTTCTTATCTATAAAAAATATTAATGTATATACACACACACACAAATACATATATTTATTTAAATATATATATTTATATGTATCTACATATACATATATATACTTATATATGGGTGTACACACATACATATATACACACATGTGTGTGTGTCTATATGTATACATACATACATAAATGTGTAAATATATGTGTCTATATGTTTATACATGTATATATACACATATATATGTGTGTGTGCATGTACAAGCACACATACATATTTTATATTTATATAAATATATATTTATGTGCACACACATATATATACATAGATATACATTTATATTTGATAATAAAAAATTAAATAAATAATTTATTCAAATATTTTTTACATAATAATAAATCAAACTTAAGTTTAAATCAAACTAAACTAAAATTTTAAATTTAGTTTGATTTCTAAAATTACTTTTTTATACTTTCCTATTTTGAAAGCCAAGGCCTCCTCCATTTATGGGCAGGAGTGGGCCAAATTTGGTGATTTTTTTTTGTTTGGTCAAACGGTGGCCCATACTTCTTCACTTTTGGTGCTCCGTACTGCCAACTTTCGGCGCCCCACGTGGGCTATATACTCCACAGAAAATTCATTGAACAAATCAATGGGAGAAATGATTCTCGTTGATCAATCAGTCCAACTCAAGGAAAGGACAACTTCCGCCCCGGGAAGCTATTGATTTCTCGTTCAAAACCAACTTACATTATATATTCGTGGATTTAAGTGAGCAAGGACTGAAGCAAGCCTCCAGGAAGCCTTGTTCAATGAAAATGATGCTTTCTCATTCTCTTTCCCTGCATTCCATTTCTATGGTTTCCTCGACTGTCAAGTTAGCTCATCAGCCGTCACTGCCGGTCATCTCCTCTGTAAAGTCAAAGACAGAGACCCAACAATTTCATGACTTGAAGCAACGCCGATCTGCAAGTTACCATCCCACTGTTTGGGATCCCAAGTTCATTCAATCCACAAGCACTCCCTATTCCGTAAATTTCCACTTTTCCAATCTTCGTTTCTCATTATTTTATCTCCAGAGGTGTAATCTGAATACTTCTTGCTTTCACAAATTGTACTAATCCTGTCGTTTCTTGAAATTTTAAAAATTTGAGATAATAGTTTAAAAATTATAAATCGAATATCAAAAGTGGCTTTTTTGCTGCAGTATGAGCTTTACGGTACCACTTTGGATGAGTTAAAGCAGAAAGTTAAACGATTGTTTAAGTCAAGAGGAGGCCGTGACCGCCATTTTTTCCTTTTAAAGCTCATTGATTCCCTACAACGTCTGGGGGTGGCCTATCATTTTGAAGCGGATATTCAGGAAGCTCTTGATCATGTTGATTGCAATTCTGGTGATGATCTTTACACAACTTCGTTGCAGTTTCGGCTCCTTCGAGAACATGGTTACCCCATTAGCTCAGGTCCGCATTTTACACCATAAACCCTCTCTTCTCGGATTTTTTGTTTTCTACAAAGGCAATATTTAATACACTTTAAAGATCTTAAAGTACACGTCTGGATGACTGTGGAATAGCAGAAGTGTTTGACAAATTCAAAGACAGTGAAGGGAGATTCATGGAGAGCTTAAGCAGGGACGTCTGGGGTCTCGCGGGTCTGTACGAAGCTTCACAACATGGAATGGCCGGTGAAGGTGATTTACAAGAAGCCAAGAATTTCAGCGCCAAATATCTCAGATCGCTGCTATCCGCAGGACAGATGGAGATGAAAGTGGCCAAACAAGTCCAACAGTCTCTGGAACTCCCACTGCGATGGAGGTTGCAACGGCTAGAAGCTCGAAATTTCATTGATCTGTTCCCGTTGGAGAGCCAAGAAAGCTCGTTGTTGCTAGAATTGGCTCGGCTGGATTACAATCTTGTGCAGTCAGTGCATCAGAACGAAGTCAAGGAACTCGCAAAGTAAGCATCCATCTTTGTATTAAACCAGCATGCATCATATTGAGATACAAACCACTCATTTTATGGGTAGTAATACATCAAAAAAAAATGTTATATAATTAACCGTATCGATATCTTGGTAGGTGGTGGGTGGACTTGGGCTTGAAAGAAAAGCTCAATTTTGCAAGAGATCGGTTGGTGGAGAATTATTTATGGGCAGTGGGGATCATTTTTGAGCCACAATTCTCTGAATGCAGGAAAGGCTAACCAAATTTGTCTGCATATTAACAGCTATAGATGACATCTATGATATTTATGGATCCCTCGACGAGCTCCAACGCTTCACCGATGCAGTTGATCGGTAAAATGATATATGTGGATTATCATATCATTAAGATCCTTGCTTCCTTTCCCAACGTTGTAGATGTTTTAATTGTCTTAACTTTCCATGATCAGGTGGGACATTAAGGCCGTCGATGACCTTCCTGAGTACATGAAATTATGTTATTTAGCTATGTTCAACTTTGGAAATGAAATTGCTTACCACGTTCTTCGACACGATGGCTTGAACGTCCTATCTTGCGTCAAGGAAGAGGTGAGAATGAGAATATAGGTAGTTTGATTTTTGTCATTTTTGTGATATTGTACAAGATTTTTTGACTTTGTTACATAGTTTAATTCGTAAATAGTCAGTTATTTTTAACTCCGTTGTTTAAAAGAAAAAAAATCTAAAACGCTCGCAATAGTTATAGAAAAAACACATAAGACAATTACAATTTACTAATAAAAAATATGAAAGGAAACCAATACCTGGTCTCAAAGTTTTAAAAAATCGCAAAACTTCACTTAAAATCGAAAACTGGAATTTTCAAAAATTTTATAATCTGCTCTTCTAAGCATGAGTTTTACCACTCAAAGAATTTTTCTATATTTACCAAAAATTAAATTTTTTAAAATTTTTATTTTGATTAGAGATAAATATGTACATCTTATACTTTACTATTTTCTGATTAGACATAAATACGCACATCTTATACTTTACTATTTGCCACGAGTTCCACATTTTATCATGTTTTGCAAGAGTAGTTCAGTTGTTAAACCAAGTTGGTGGAAGGAATTCCAAAGACTAGTTTTTGAAAATCTCAATCTTAATTAAAAATCAGAAACTAGAATTTTTATAAATTTTGTAATCTACTCTTCTAAGCATAAGTTGTACTACTGAAAGAATTGTTCTTTATTTACTAAAAATTCAATTTTTAAAATTTTTTATTATGATTAAAGATAAATATATACTTCTTACACTTTACTGTTTATGACAAGTTCCACATATTGTCTAGATCTGTAAGAATAGTTCAATTGTTGACACTAATTGATGGTGGGCACATATATATTAGCCGTTAAATGTGAACCGTTGATGTGAGTGTCGCACTCACCATCAACTAGTGTGAACAATTAAACTACTCTTGTAGAACTGGATAAAAAGTGAAATCAGTCACAAATAATAAAGTACAAGCCACCCAGCATCAAGCATGCAATTTTGTTTTTTATGTCAGACACAAAAAGATTGTATCCACCAGGTTTTTATGCTCTATATATGAAGCTGTTTTCCTCTGGTCTCACGTTGCCAGACGTTTCTTTTTCCTTTAAGACACTTTAATTTAGTTTATGTTAATCTAATACACATAATATTTTTGTAACATCAATTAATTATATTTTACATGATGCTGAGCTAATTTTCTATAAATAATAAATTCTAGAGCTTATTTATTCTGCAACAGTGGGCAAAGCTTTGCAGATCATACATGGTGGAAGCACGATGGTTCTACGGTGCGTACACGCCAACTTTGGAAGAATATTTGGAAAATGCATGGATTTCAGTGGGTGGCCATGCAGCAATGGTTCATGCTTGTCTTCTTCTCGGATCCGACGTTGACAAGCTTGCCTTCTTGATAGCTTCAAGACTGGCTGGGAAGTCATTTACTGGGCTTCTCTCATTGCCCGTTTGAACGATGACTTGGGCACATCGAAGGTGATCGTGCCTATAATTATATATATTTATTTAACTAATCGGTTGTTTGCCTAATCATCAAATTCTTGCATGTTTGTATTAGCTACTTTGGTGGAAAATCAACCTCTAATCTAGCTGGTATTAGCGTGGAAGTGAAGCTAAAGCCACACAGTACACATGATGCATGTTGATCTAATTTTTAAATTGAAGACTAAGAAGGTTCTCATGCTTAGAGCATTAATATTAGATATGAATGAATAAATCACGTTGGTTTGGACATTATAAGGCCTGTTTTAAAATAATCAATTATTAGGATAAATTACACTTTTACTCCCTCTAGTTTTATCTATTTTGCCTATTTAACTTCCAATACAACACATTTAGTTCCAATATTCAAAAGTTCTCTCAAATAAGGATAATAATTAAAGATAAACTAATGTTAAAAATTACATAAAATCATTTATTTTATATATGGAGACAAAAATAGAACTAGGATGAGATTACATAAACCAAACAGGTAACTTGGCCAATTAGTTAAAATGCTAGAAAAACCAATTGCATTGACTTGTGTTTTAGATAATGATATTAAACTCTCTCTCTCTCTCTCTCTCTCTCTCTCTCTCTCTCTCTCTCGCTTGACAGATAATAGTGAAGAAATATTTAAATCTTTTAACTTAGTTAAAATATGACTTATAATTGATGAAAAATTCGTGTAAGCAACTCCATATACTTATAGATAACTCGATCTCATCTTTTGATTTGTATGGAAGGCTGAGATTGCGAGAGGTGATGTAGCAAAATCCATACAGAGCTACATGGTGCAGAAGAATGCAACAGAAGGAGAAGCAAGGGATCATATCAGGAGCTTAATAAGTTTGGCATGGAGCAAGTTCAATGAGATTAGCGGAAGAAAGTGGAATAATATTCAGCATAAATCCATAATAAAAATGTCGGTCAACATGGCAAGAACGGCTCACTGCATCTACCAGCATGGAGATGGCATAGGCACTTCATCTGGGCTCACCAAAGATCGGTTGACCTCTTTGATAATCGACCCTGTACCTTATTAAGCAGCAGGATGGGGACCAAATTTATGGCTGGAATGGGCCAGGCCCCACCCAATAAAGGAATGTTTCCCCGAACCCGGTTCACTCAGCACAAGGGAAACTCAATCCATTCCGCCTTGTTTAATTTGCGGAGTATATAAACAATCTTTCATGATCACTTATATTATGCTTCGAAATTATGAATATGATTAAGATAAAATCACATGAACATTAAGATTTTAAAAATCATAACCACATTTATTGTTAATGTGGATAATTATCATAAGTCATATCCACAATCACGTAGAACCAAAAAGTATATTTTATTTTATTAATTCGGGAGTTAGTTGTTATTTGTTGGATTGCATTCATATGATAGCAATACTGGAACTGATTGGGATTTTGTTATCTATAAACACATTATAAGTAGAAAAATTATAAATAAATATAACGCCGATTTAGATAAAAATATAAATATATAAAAAATAAAAACCTAAATTGCATCTATTGAGTTTTTAATTTTGGCTTTCTACGTGTTTAACCATTTGGATGTAATTAAAACTGTCCACTTGGTTTTGATTGTTAATTTTTGGTCAAATATTCGTATCCATCAAACAACCCTGTCATTACCAAAACCCGCTGTTTCAAACCGGACCGAGTTGAGCTTTCCCTACTCCAAGTTAGTTGCACTCCATCTCACTTGATTCTTAGATTTAATGTTTGGTGTACACCTATTAGAGCCATACAACTAGTAGTCGTTAAATACATGAGAAAACGTTTCTTGTGTAGATTTTCCATGCACCCAACTAATACTATTAATTAGAATTTAACTAGAATATGAGAAATGAGAGATGGCATTGGAGATATTTCTGGTTTTAAAAATTTATAATAAAATTAATATAAAATTTATGTTTTAAATTTATTTTAGCAAATGTATTTTCACTCTCCATCCCCACATTCACTCTCTTACTCTCCCACTTTTTATTTCGTATTTTTTTTTTTTATCATTTTCATTCTTTTTTATTTTGTAAATATAATTAAAATGAGGGTAAATGTTATAAAAACAATTCGTAAAAAAGTTATTTGACATAGTCAAAGAAAGCCATTACAACATATGGTAATTTTGTCATTTGCATAAGAGTCATTGTCAAGGAAAGTGGAAAATAACATTGAATTTCTCCAACAGCAGGAACTAGGGAAAATTGGAAAATAATATGTTAGCAAAAGCAATTAATTAAAAATGAGAGAGAGGATGATAAAGTAAGTCCGATATGCATCCCTTGCTAATCAATTAATTAATCACCAAGGGCAGCAGTGGAAGTGACGAAGTAGCCAACAGAAATGCCAGCATGAACAAAACACAAAATGCCTCCAAGGGAGAGATAGAGATGATGTGTCAATCTACACGAAGCTCTTGACTTACTGTTGGACATGGTTCCAGCATCCAAAAGGGTTAATCCGATGGCCAAGGTGACCCTGATGAATCAATAATCAAAACAAAAAATCATAAATTAAATCGTGCTACAGAAAATTGCACGATACTCAACTTGATGGAAACTTGCTCAGCTAAAATGAAATGGCCGGTAAAAATTTTGATATTTTTATAGTTTCTTTGAATTTACTCCCTTCAAGAAGCTTTTAAACTGGGGTAAATAAGTATCTTTGGTTTCCACAGTTTTCTCCTAATCTGATGTTGATCTTTATAATTTTAAATCTCAAATTCTTGCATGTTTAAGGGGTTCGTTGTCCAAAAGTTCAATATGCCTTTTAATTAGAATAACTAATTTTAAGAGTTGTTTGGGGAACCCCATTCTTTCAAAAGCTGACATACCATGTAAGGAAGAGACAAGCCAGTGAGCACTGCCTGCTAGGTGGTGCTTTCTGGATCTCTTCGTGGGTACAAACGCTGCAGCCACCGAGTAAGTTTGCAAAAACGTGGGCTAGGCTCAGGAGGATGGCTGCAGCCACCCCTAGCCTGAAGGCTTCATGGCTTGGATCTTTGCACTCAAACAAAAACAGCCTCACATGCTTCACCTGCATGTTTCAAATTAATTCATGCATACATAATTACCAAAAACTACAATTAGGATAGAAGATTTTGAAATTTAAAGAATGGGAAAATCAATTTCATTTATTCTTTCTCCTTTATATGTCTACATCCCCGAACATGTGATTGGGTATTACTACCCAAGATTTTATAGAACGCCCAGATATTTGTACACTTAGTAATAAGACCTGGTCATCTCATACTTACTTTTGTTTTTTCTTTTTATATAAAAAGTTTCATTTCATCCTAAAATAATGAAGGATAGAACAAATTATTAAAAAGATCGTAATATTCATAATTTTAAGATTCCTTTAAATTAAAAAGTGAAATATATAAGTTTAAAAAAAGAGGAATAAAAACCTCCAAAAATTTTCATATTCAATATTCTCTAAGTACATAAAATTGAACAGGATATGGTATTATGTGTTTAATCGTTTGACTGTTTTTTTCAATATATATAGGAGATATGTATAAAATTTAAAAAATTATAATTCATCTCATAACATAACTCAAAATCATGCCCAATTCACAATGTCTAGGGATGTGCAAAATTAAACTAATTAACCAAATTAAATTAACCCAAACTCTCAGGGTCCAAACCCAGACCCTGACCGGCACTAGGGTCCCCGATCCTAGTCAGCCTTACTGTCACAAATATATGCCAGAACTAACCAACATATTTATATATATACATTTCAAAATTGTCATTTACAAGCTAGGATCCTGCCCGAGTGATAAAGGGAGCTCTAGAGTACAAACAGGTAAACAAGGAACTCGCCCGTACATCGAATGAAATGGCAGACGACCGTCTCAATCCTGGCACGCACCCCGAGAACCGCAACCTATATTTGAAAAGTTATAATAAGTGAGTCACGAAACTCAGTGAGTACAGATGATACCTACTCTATGCATGTTAGAATATGCATCATGCCACCAATCAAAACCATACATACATGTACAGCAATCACTAACACATCAACTATACTCTAAAAGATAACATTGTCCCCGCATCACATCACATCACATCACATCAATTCACATCGCCACACGGAAGTCAAAAATGTACATACAACGATCAATGCCAACATAAAACATACACAAACTTAGAAGTACCATGATCACTGAGACTCTGGCCTCGATCGGAGGAATTCTCCGTCTCGTGATTAGGCCCCAACACAGTCACATATCACACTCTTGGTTGAGAGTCATCCTCCATCTCACAACCAGAGCCACAAGCCCACCTGGGCAACCACTACACGCTCCCGGTCGAGAGGCATCCTCCATCTCACGACCGGAGCCATACGCCCACCCAAGCAATCAATACACGTTCCCGGTCGAGAGGCATCCTCCATCTCACGACCGGAGCAAACGGTCTCAGCACATCATGAACTCCCCACACATCCACACAAACAGGCATATAACATATGCAACCCACAATGATCAAAACCAGTTCACCTACCAACGTAACTCACTAACAGTTCGTAAAACACATAATACACATTCCAAGATTCATACATATCAACACCATTCCCCATTTCCATGCAGTCATCATGCTAGGAAAAACAAGTATGAAAGTACATGCATAAGGAGGGTATCATCACTCACCGTTAAGCCGAGTCTAATAAGAACCTCAAGTCACGTCAATCAACCCTCCAGTCCCGGTGCTCCTCCACGGGTGGACCGGAAATCAAGCCACATAAAACCATCACCAACCCTATCGTCAGTACTCAAACGGGCTCAACAGCCCAAGACAGGACTTAAATCCCATCCCCGCACTTGACACGCATCCCGAGGCACCACTACTCACTACCGATCCCGCATGACTCGCTAACACTCACACTTCAGCTCAACAACTCCTAATAGTAAAGGACCAGCCTCCACCACCCCCAACCCATAGTGAGCCAGTCTTCGAAACCCCCGAACTGGCCTAACCTGATCTCAAAACTACCTCGAGCTCAACTCGATTGACCATGAAAATCTCAAAAATAGATTCAGAAGGCCCAAAAACCCTAGGAACCATATTAAACTTGCCAAAAAATCTCTAAAATTAAGCCGAACTGGGCTAAAAACCCTAATCCAGACATCGACAAGCAAACCGAGGCCAGTTCACCTTGAATTGGACCTCCAAACCTTACCAAATTTCACAGTCAACTAGGTTTTATCATGTTGAACCAGGAATCGGTTCAATCTCCCCAAAAATTGGCCTAAAAACCCGTGAACTGGTCACCCGAATGGAACCACACTAAACCAGCCGATTCACCTCGAACCGATCATCCAAAATTTTCCGAACCACTTGGTTTGATAGGTATTTTCTCCCTGAATCCAGAATCGGTCCAGCTTCCCAAATCTGAGTCCATTTGACCACTGAACGGCCGGTCAAACCTTGAACCAGTCTGGCCAGTTCAGTTAACTACAAAACCCTAATCCTCCAATCTTGGATTATGCTATCCCCTACTATCCCCAATCTGGCCTTATCCCTGATTTCTTATCCTCCCGGGATAACTTATCCCCGATTTTTTATCCTGGGTCAACTCGATTGAGTTGATCCATAATCCTCACTCACTTGGCTGAGTCAACCCAGTGGGTTGACTCGGCCCGACCCTCAACGGGCCGGCTTACGGCTCAACCCGTGGGCCTGCCATGTATCTGGGCCGAGCTCAGGCCCTAGCAGGCTGGGCCGAACCTGGCCAGGGACCCAGACCCATCCGGGTCCTTTCTTCTCCACCCGAACGGGCAGAAGCCCGACCCGAACCCCCCTGCGGTGCCCAAAAACCAAGAAACTCCATGAATTCACAAATTCAACTCACCTGGATGATTCAAAAGTGACAAAGAAGGAATTCCGAAGCCCACAAGCCACTTAAACGCGATTAATTGGAGCAAAATAGAGAAAAATTGAGATTTTTCTTGTCAAAGCTCCAACGAACCTACGGCCATTCCAGATCAGAATTCGTCCTCCTCTCTCTACAATTCTCTCAATTGTTTGCCTGCTGAGACTCGTCTGGTCCTTATTTATCAAGAGTCAAAAGTTAATTTGAGTTGTTAAGCTCCTATTGGAGCAAATTTGTTCTGGGTTATTCGGCCGGTTCTCGGCCAAAAAATCTCTTTTTTTTTAATTCGGTCCTGAATTTTTGTTCTCTTCACTTCAATCCACAAATTTTCAATTTTCCCCCCAACACTCTTAATTTAATCACCTATATCCCTAGTTACAAATCTAAGTTATTACACAAACTAATTTTTAAAATTTGGTTTAGTTTTTTAAATTTAACTTGGTTTGGTTGAGTTTAAAAAAATCCAAAATTATGATTTAGTTCGGTTTTAAAAATATTTTCTTATCTATAAAAAAATGTTAATATACATACACATACATATATTTATATAATATATATATATGTATCTACATATACATATATATGTGGGTGTACACTAACATATATGTGTGTGTGTGTGTATAAATATATATTTTTTATCTACTCATATAAATATAAATATATATACATCTACATAAATTATATTGTATATAGATACATAGATATATATATATATATATGTACACACACACACATGTGTATGTCTATATGTATACATACATACATAAATGTGTAAATATATGTATCTATATATTTATACATGTATATATAACAAACATATATGTGTGTGTGCATGTACACGCACACATACATATTTTTATATTTATATAAATATATATGTATATGCGCACACACACATATATATACATGCGTATACATTCAAAATTGATAATAAAAAATCAAATAAATAATTTATTTAAATATTTTTTAAATAACAATAAATTAACCTTAAAATCAAAGTAAAACTAAGTTGAAATTTTAGGTTTGGTTAGATTTATAATTAAATTGATTTAGTTTAGTTTAATTTGATTTCAAAATTTTAAACCTACTAAACCAAAAAATAAACTATTATTAAAAATCAAATCAAAATTGTGATTTGCACGTTTCTAACAGTATCTGAATATCTAAATTCACTTTATTTTTAGACTTGATTTAATTTTTGATAATTTAATTAATTTAATTTAATTTAGTTTAATTTAATTTTTTAAATATTAAAACTAACAAACTAAAAAATAAATTAAATTATCAAAAATTAAATAAAATTATGATTTACACATCTCTAACAATCTGAATCAAGATTATCCAAATTCACTTTATTTACACCTATTTTATTCCAATTCACCTTCTTCAAACCGCTTTTGTCAAACTCACTCCCCGAAATTTGCCGTCAAGCCAGACTTGCGACGGGCAGCCCAAAGGGTCTTTGAGGGTTTTTAAAAGCTCAAATCACGTGGTTTTTAAAAAATAAAAATTTAAGTTTTTAGACTTTTTAAATTGTTTTTAATAAAGAAAGAGTTAAAAATTATCAAAAATTTTCATATTCAACGTTCTCTAAATATATGAAATTGAACTCGACTGATATTATCTATTTAATCAGTCGACTGTTTTTTTAATGCATATAAGAGATATGCATAAAAATTTAAAAAAAAAATTGTATATATAACTCAAAACCGTGAACCAATATGCATTCTATTAATTAAGATTAGTCAAATAATTTCTGCAAAATAATAGTTTTAAAAATTACCATTTAAGCACTTTTGACAGCGTGGTTACAAAATTTGACCTCAACCAATTTCTCGGCATGGGCGCTGAAACAGGTTACTTTTTCTATATCCTCTATATCCCACTACGAAATATTTGAAAAATTAACAAGTTTGATAAAGTAAAATTGTAATTAATAAAATAAGAAAAAAATTAATAAATAAGAATATAAAGATTTATGTAAAAAATTCTTAAATAAATTTAAGAGAAAAAAAATATAAGAATAGAAGATTTTATTATGAAAAATATGGGGTTATAACATTTCTTTACTTTAAAAAGATAAATAATATTATATCTCTGTATAAGACAAAATCTCTATACTCTCTATTGCTTTCACTATTTTCTCCTTGCTCAATGAGATGGAATGTTTCACGATTTTGAAAGGCAAGAGTCTCCTATTTACAGGCCAGGAGTGGCCAAAATTAATTTTTGTGGTTTTTTTTTTTGGTCAAAAATGCCGCCAATTTTCGGTGCCCCATGCTGCTCGACTGTCGGTGCTCCATACTGCCAATTTTCGGTGTCCCATGCTGCTCGACCTGTCGGTGCTCCATACTGCCAATTTTCGGTGTCCCATACGGGCTATATACCACAGAAATTTCATTGAACAAATTGTGGGAGAAATGATTCTCGGTTGATCAATCAGTCAACTCAAGGAAAGGACAACTTCCCCTAGGAAGCTATTAATTCCTCGTTCAAAACCACTTACATTATATATGCGTGGATTTAAGTAAGCAAGGACTGAAGCAAGCCTCCAGGAAGCCTTGTTCAATGAAAATGATGCTCTCTTATTCTCTTTCCCTGCATTCCATTTCAGTTGTTTCCTCGACTGTCAAGTTAGCTCATCAGCCGTCACTATCGGTCATCTCCTCTGTAAAGTCAAAAACAGAGACCCAACAATTTCTTGACTTGAAGCAACGCCGATCTGCAAGTTACCATCCCACTGTTTGGGATCCCAAGTTCATTCAATCCACCAGCACTCCTATTCCGTAAATTTCCACTTTCCAATCTTCGTTTCTCATTATTTAATCTCGGAGGTGTAATCTGAATACTTCTTGTTTTCACAAATTGTACTAATCCTTTCGTTTCTTGAAATTTTAAAATTTGAGATAATAGTTTAAAATTGCAAATCGAATATCAAAAGTAGCTTTTTTGCTGCAGTATGAGCTTTACGGTACCACTTTGGATGAGTTAAAGCAGAAAGTTAGACGATTGTTTAAATCAAGAGGAGGCCGTGACCGCCATTTTTTCCTTTTAAAGCTCATTGATTCCCTGCAACGTCTGGGGTGGCCTATCATTTTGAAGCGGATATTCAGAAAGCTCTTGATCATGTTGATTGCAATTCTGGTGATGATCTTTACACAACTTCGTTGCAGTTTCGGCTCCTTAGAGAACATGGTTACCCATCAGCTCAGGTCCACATTTTACAGCATAAACTCTCTCTTCTAGGATTTTTTGTTTTCTACAAAGGCAATATTTAATACGCTTTTAAGATCTTAAAGTACACATGTCTGGATGATTGTGCAAGAGCAGAAGTGTTTGACAAATTCAAACACAGTGAAGGGAGATTCATGGAGAGCTTAGGCAGAGACGTCTGGGGTCTCGTGGGTCAGTACGAAGCTTCACAACATGGAATGGCCGGTGAAGGTGATTTACAAGAAGCCAAGAATTTCAGCGCCAAACATCTCAGATCGCTGCTATCCGCAGGAAAGATGGAGATGAAAGTGGCCAAACAAGTCCAACAGTCTCTGGAACTCCCACTGCGATGGAGGTTGCAACGGCTAGAAGCTCGAAATTTCATTGATCTGTTCCCGTTGGAGAGCCAAGAAAGCTCGTTGTTGCTAGAATTGGCTCGGCTGGATTACAATCTTGTGCAGTCAGTGCATCAGAACGAAGTCAAGGAACTCGCAAAGTAAGCATCCGTCTTTGTATTAAACCAGCATGCATCATATTGAGATACAAAACTACTCATTTTATGGGTAATAATACATCAAAAAAAAATGTTATATAATTAACCGCATCGATATCGTGGTAGGTGGTGGGTGGACTTGGGCTTGAAAGAAAAGCTCAATTTTGCAAGAGATCGGTTGGTGGAGAATTATTTATGGGCAGTGGGATCATTTTTGAGCCACAATTCTCTGAATGCAGGAAAGGCCTAACCAAATTTGTCTGCATATTAACAGCTATAGATGACATCTATGATATTTATGGATCCCTCGACGAGCTCCAACGCTTCACCGATGCAGTTGATCGGTAATATGATATATGTGGATTATCATATCATTAAGATCCTTGCTTCTTTTCCCAACGTTGTAGATGTTTTAATTGTCTTAACTTTCCATGATCAGGTGGGACATTAAGGCCGTCGATGACCTTCCTGAGTACATGAAATTATGTTATTTAGCTATGTTCAACTTTGGAAATGAAATTGCTTACCACGTTCTTCGACACGATGGCTTGATCGTCCTATCTTGCGTCAAGGAAGAGGTGAGAATGAGAATATAGGTAGTTTGATTTTTGTCATTTTTTGTGATATTGTGCAAGATTTTTTGACTTTATTACATAGTTTAATTCGTAAATAGTGAGTTATTTTTAACTCCGTTGTTTTAAAAAAAAAAAATCTAAAACGCTCGCAATAGTTATAGAAAAAAACACATAAGACAATTACAATTTGCTAATAAAAAATATGAAGGAAACCAATACCTGGTCTCAAAGTTCTTAAAAATCGCAAAACTTCACTTAAAATCGGAAACTGGAATTTTCAAAAATTTTATAATCTGCTCTCCTAAGCATGAGTTGTACCACTAAAAGAATTGTTCTACATACCGAAAATTAAATTTTTTAAAATTTTTATTTTGATTAGAGATAAATATATACATCTTATACTTTACTATTTTTTAATTAGACATAACGTACATCTTATACTTTACTATTTTCTAATTAGACATAAATACGCACATCTTATACTTTACTATTTGCCACGAGTTCCACATTTTATCATGCTTTGCAAGAGTAGTTCAATTGTTAAACCAAGTTGGTGGAAGGAATTCCAAAGACTAGTTTTTGAAAATCTCAATCTTAATTAAAAATCAGAAACTGGAATTTTTATAAATTTTGTAATCTTCTCTTCTAAGCATAAGTTGAACTACTGAAAGAATTGTTCTTTATTTATCAAAAATTCAATTTTTAAAATTTTTTATTATGATTAAAGATAAATATATACATCTTACACTTTACTGTTTATGACAAGTTCCACATATTGTCTAGATCTGCAAGAATAGTTCAATTGTTGACACTAGTTAATGGTGGGCACATATATATCAGCCGTTAAATGTGAACCGTTGATGTGAATGTCGCACTCATCATCAACTAGTGTGAACAATTAAACTACTCTTGTAGAACTAGATAAAAAGTGAAATCAGTCACAAATAATAAAGTACAAGCCACCAGCATCAACCATGCAATTTTGTTTTTTATGTCAGACACAAAAAGATCGTATCCACTGGGTTTTTATGCTCTATATATGAAGCTGTTTTCCTCTGGTCTCACGTTGCCAGACGTTTCTTTTTTCCTTTAAGACACTTTAATTTAGTTTATGTTAATTTAATACACATAATATTTTTGTAACATCAATTAATTATATTTTACATGATGCTGAGCTAATTTTCTATAAATAATAAATTCTAGAGCTTATTTATTCTGCAACAGTGGGCAAAGCTTTGCAGATCATACATGGTGGAAGCACGATGGTTCTACGGTGCGTACACGCCAACTTTGGAAGAATATTTGGAAAATGCATGGATTTCAGTGGGTGGCCATGCAGCAATGGTTCATGCTTGTCTTCTTCTCGGATCCGACGTTGACAAAGCTTGCCTTCTTGATAGCTTCAAGACTGGCTGGGAAGTCATTTACTGGGCTTCTCTCATTGCCCGTTTGAACGATGACTTGGGCACATCGAAGGTGATCGTGCCTATAATTATATATATTTATTTAACTAATCCGGTTGTTTGCCTAATCATCAAATTCTTGCATGCTTGTATTAGCTAATTTGGTGGAAAATCAACCTCTAATCTAGCTGGTATTAGTGTGGAAGTGAAGCTAAAACCACACAGCACACATGATGCATGTTGATTTAATTTTTAAATTGAAGACTAAGAAGGTTCTCATGCTTAGAGCATTAATATTAAATATGAATGAATAAATCACGTTGATTTGGACATTATAAGGCCTGTTTTAAAATAATCAATTATTAGGATAAATTACACTTTTACTCCCTCTAGTTTTATCTATTTTGCCTATTTAACTTCCAATACAACACATTTAGTTCCAATATTCAAAAGTTCTCTCAAATAAGGATAATAATTAAAGATAAACTAATGTTAAAAGTTACATAAAATCATTTATTTTATATATGGAGACAAAAATAGAATTAGGATGAGATTACATAAACCTAACAGGTAACTTGGCCCATTAGTTAAAATGCTAGAAAAACCAATTGCATTGATTTGTGTTTTAGATAATGATATTAAACTCTCTCTCTCTCTCCTCTCTCTCTCTCTCTCTCTCTCTCTCTCTCTCTCTCTCTCTCTCTCTCTCTCTCTCTCTTTGACAGATAATAGTGAAGAAATATTTAAATCTTTTAACTTAGTTGAAAATATGACTTATAATTGATGCAAAATTCGTGTAATCAACTCCATATAGATAACTCGATCTCATCTTTTAATTTGTATGGAAGGCTGAGATTGCGAGAGGAGACGTAGCAAAATCCATACAGAGCTACATGGTGCAGAAGAATGCAACAGAAGGAGAAGCAAGGGATCATATCAGAAGCTAATAAGTTTAGCATGGAGCAAGTTCAATGAGATTTGCGGAAGAAAGTGGAATAATATTCAGCATAAATCCATAATAAAAATGTCGGTCAACATGGCAAGAACGGCTCACTGCATCTACCAGCATGGAGATGGCATAGGCACTTCATCTGGGCTCACCAAAGATCGCTTGACCTCTTTGATAATCGACCCTGTGCCTTACTAAGCAACTGCATGGGGCCCAAATTTGTGGCTGGAATGGGCCGGGCCCAACCCAATAAAGAGATGTTTCCTCGAACCCGGTTCACTCAGGTCAGCACAAGGGAAACTCAATCCATTCCGCCTTGTTTAATTTGTGGAGGAGTATATAAACAATCTTTCATGATCACTTATATTATGCTTCGAAAATATTATTATGATTAAGATAAATAATAATAATAATGAAACCCTTATCAAGACCAAAAATCATACTAAATGCAAAATCACATGAATATTAAGATTTTAAAAATCATAACCACATTTATTGTTAATGTGGATAATTATCATAATTCATATCCACAATCACGTATAACTAAAAAGTATATTTTATTTTATTAATTCGGGAGTTAGTTGTTATTCGTTGGATTGCGTTCATGTGATGGAAGTACTGGAATTGATTGGGATTTTGTTATCTATAAACATATTATAAGTAGAAAAATTATAAATAAATATAACGCCGATTTAGATATAAAAATATGAATATACAAAAAACAAAAACCTATATTACATCTATTGAGTTTTTAATTTTGGCTTTCTACGTGCTTAACCATTTGGATGTAATTAAACTGTCCAATTTGTTTTGATTGTTAATTTTTGGTCAAATATTCGTATCCATCAAACAACCCTGTCATTGCCAAAACCCGCTGTCTCAAACCGGACCGAGTTGAGCTTTCCCTACTCCAAGTTAGTTGCACTCCATCTCACTTGCTTGTTAGATTTAATGTTTGGTGTACATCTATTAGGGTCATACAACTAGTAGTTGTTAAATACATGAGAAAACGTTTCTTGTGTAGATTTTCCATGCACCCAACTAATACTATTAATTAGAATTTAACTAGAATATGAGAAATGAGAGATGGCATTGGAGATATTTCTGGTTTTGAAAATTTATAATAAAATTAATATAAAATTTATGTTTAATTTTATTTTAGCAAATGTATTTTCACTCTCCATCCCCACATTCACTCTCTTACTCTCCCACTTTTTATTTCGTATTTTTTTTTATCATTTTCATTCTTTATTATTTTATAAGTGTAATTAAAACGAGGGTAAATATTATAAAAACAATTCGTAAAAAAGTTATTTGACATAGTCAAACAAAGCCATTACAACAGATGGTAATTTTTGTCATTTGCATAAGAGTCATTGTCAAGAAAGTGGAAAATAACATTGAATTTCTCAACAGCAGGAACAAGGGAAAATTGGAAAATAATATGTTAGCAAAAGCAATTAATTAAAAATGAGAGAGAGGACGACAAAGTCCGTCCGATGTGCATTGCTTGCTAATCAATTAATTAATCACCAAGGGCAGCAGTGGAAGTGACCAAGTAGCCAACAGAAAAGCCAGCATGAACAAAGCACAAAGTGCCTCCAAGGGAGAGATAGTGATGATGTGTCAATCCACATGACGCTCTTGACTTATTGTTGGACATGGTTCCAGCAACCAAAAGGGTTAATCCGATGGCCAAGGTGACCCTGATGAATCAATAATCAAAACAAAAAATCATAAATTAAATCGTGCTACAGAAAATTGCACGATACTCAACTTGATGGAAACTTACTCAGCTAAATGAAATGGCCGGTAAAAAATTTGATATTTTAATATTTTCCTTGAATTTACTCCCTTCAAGAAGCTTTTAAACTGGGGTAAATATGTATCTTTGGTTTCCACAGTTTTCTCCTCATCTGATGTTGATCTTTATAATTTTAAATCTCAAATTCTTGCATGTTTAAGAGGTTCCTTGTCCAAAAGTTCAATATGCCTTTTAATTGGAATAACTAATTTTAAGAGTTGTTTGGAGAACCCCAATCTTTCAAAAGTTGACATACCATGTAAGGAAGAGGCAAGCCAGTGAGCACTGCCTGCTAGGTGGTGCTTTCTGGATCTCTTCGTGGGTACAAACGCTGCAGCCACCGAGCAAGTTTGCAAAAACGTGGGCTAGGCTTAGAAGGATGGCTGCAGCCACCCCTAGCCTGAAGGCTTCATGGCTTGGATCTTTGCACTCAAACAAAAAAAGCCTCACATGCTTCACCTGCATGTTTCAAATTAATTCATGCATACATAATTACCAAAAACTGCAATTAGGATAGGAGATTTTGAAATTTAAAGAATGGGAAAATCAATTTCATTTATTCTTTCTCCTTTATATATCTACATCCCTGAATATGTGATTGGGTATTACTATCCAAGAATTTATAGAAAGCCCAGATATTTGAACACTTACTAATAAGATCTTGTCATCTTATTCTTACTTTTTGTTTTTCTTTTTTATATAAAAAGTTTCATTTTATCCTAAAATGATGAAGGATAGAACAAATTATTAAACAGATCGTAATATTCCAATTTTTAAGATTCCTTTAAATTAAAAAGTGAAATATATAAGTTTAATGAGTTAAATAATAAAAGATCCTAAACACAAAGATTGAAAGGTATCTTAAAATGGATGGCCGGGAATGGTAATTAATTATATTTTCTGTTCATATTAAAATATTTAAAGATATAAAACAAAAATGAAGTTAATTATATAAAATGAATTTTTATGATAATGTGATATATTCCACTTCAGGTTAGTGCGGTGGGAACTTTCGTAATTACCCTCTTCTTGGTAGATTTGTAGTGAAGAACAAGACGGCGAAGTAGATTGACAAAATAGCGACGGTTCCAACATAGTTAGTGTAAGTAACATTTTAAATATTCGACCTGACATTAGCAACTATCATGTGTAGTACCTCATTTTGAGCTGCTTCAGCTTTGATCCCTAGTATGCCCGCGACAAGATCCATCAGAACCACCAAGAGACATGCGAAAATCCCAACAGTTGATCTGGCCATTTTCTGAGACTATCAAGATCTAAAAGGTAGATGAAATGGGTCGGGAAATCTCTCTCTCTCTCTCCCTCTCCCTCTCTCTCTCTCTCTCTCTCTCTCTGAATGATAAGATTCAAACGGGAATGGCAACTTGCACCAAGAGAGAGGACTTAAATAGAGTGAATAAAGTGTGTTCAAGATTTAAAGTCGTATCATCTCTCTGAAAAAATAATAAAATAAAAATTAAATACTTTAAAGTTGTAAAAGAAATGGAGGAGAGGTTGGCTGGGGAGGATGCGAGGAAAAGCTTCTTTTGTCCATTAGGGTGGTCATCTTTAATTTGCTTTTGCGTATTCTTTCATCTTCTTTAACATCTGCGGATTCCTTCGATGGGGTAATAAGGAAAGCACAGCATAAACCAGCAAGGAAGAACGTGCCGGAGGCATCTTCTAACTTGCATGAGTTGAGATGAAATGGCCTTTGCAGTCTTCAACTCCGGGAGACGAAGCATGTGCAAGGGTGTGTTTGCTACCATTTAAATCACAACTTCTTTTTAAAAGATTTTCAAGTTATTTTTGCTTTTCATAAATCTAGGAAGTTATCTTTTCAGCTTTTGGGAAATTAAGACGTTTATTTTGAACCAACCAACTATAAAATCTCGTAAACTAATTGTTTGTATTATTGATGTATTCTTGCATTTACAGCTACTGCATTATTCAGTCTATTTACTACAATTTGTTTAGGAATTCGTACAATAATATTCGATTATGTGCTTTGATATTAAAATTGAACAGTAATTCCTCAGAATTTAAAATTTTAACCTCATAAAGTAAACTAGTATTACATCAACCATACTTAACCCAGATGCAAGGAAAACAAAGAGAGAAGAAGAATCTGTATAGATTAGAACTCGTTGGGCTTCACAAGTCCGGCCACCCTAGACCCATGCACCCCAACCGATAAACATGTGTCTTCTGCACGTTATGAAATTGCCCCAGTTTCTCCACTTCAATCCAATCCCCGGTCAATACGTGCCCTCTGCGTGTGACGAGAAACATGGCCCAAACTTCACCATTTCGGTCCTGGTATAAGCCATATTTGAAACAGGCTGACTTTGACAGAAATCTGACAATGCGGAGATACAGGGATCCTCATGCATAATGCTATTTATAGCGCAGGGAAGGGGAGAGGGAAAGTTCAGGTGTTCAATTGGTAAGAAGATCTGTCTTGCTAATATCTCACCTATTCAAGAAACAAGATTGCATAGATTTTCAAGAGAAGCCTGGTCCTTGATTATCGAAGTTCTCTAGAAAATAAATAATTCATACATCAGACTATGACTTCTTTCTGGGTATATCTGATAACACAACATATACATTGGTAAAGATGCACCTTAGAAAATTTGAATCATGCTTGAAAATACTGATTGGCTTAGAATTTTTATGCTGTAATTTATGTTAAGTTCAAATTAAAATTTTGATTGGTTAATGTTTGCACAAGTAATATAAATCTTGTTTAATATATCTTAAATTTCCACCAGAACCCAATGGCAAATATTCTATATCCCTTCCGTGCCGTCGTGTACAGCGTACACAACTCCACAAAAGTCCAGAGACAAGCACTGCAAATCCCCTCGCAGAAACAAATCCAAGCTCAGCAAGGCAACACAGTATCTCCAATGCTAATGTTTCATATATTTGCAAATCTACCGAGGAGCCAACATCTAAGAAAATGCTGGCTCCCCAACAAATCAGGGAGAAATAGAAGCGGCCAAATCCGAGGAGGTAAAGATGAAATTTGGATTCCATAAGAAAATGACAATGATAAAAGGTCAGCTGACTCAATAATACTTTCTTCCTTTCACCTTTTCACTATAAATTAGAGGGAAGAAACACCACTATACTACAAACAATTAATTCTAAATTACAAGAAATTAGAAACCAAAAAATTCTGTACATAAGAATGTAGAAGAAAAAGAAGCACCAGGGATGTTGCATCTGGAATGATCACTGATTTTTCAAACGGAAAAAGAAGCTATAACTAAATTGAGGATCATTCCAAATTACAAGATTGATAAAAATACCCCCAGCTGCTTCCCAACTGCTGGCTACGTTTTATCTATCCCACATGGCTTGAAAAATTGCAGGTCTGTTCTTCAACCATTGAACCATCTCCTTGTCCAGAGGACAATTATGCACAACAGCATCCAACATTGGGCTGCCAAAAACGTTTAGTGAATTCTTGAATGACCAAATTCGATCTTTAGGCCATGGCCTCTGAGGCTGCTTTTCCTGAAGGCAAAACAGAAACGGATCAATTTTCTAGCTCATCCAAGGACATGAAAAAAAAATATATATATATATATATATTAAAATACACAAGATTGTATCAGTTTAAACTACAGGATTACCCTGGCAACTAGGACAGAGTAAAGGTTTTGCCCTTCCGTTATTTTTTGAAATTATAATTCAAGCACGCAAACAATTTAACACATGTCCAACCCACAGGGTGACATGAAACCCTAAACCCCTCCAACATCCATCCACATGCTAATCACTATCATCCTAACATAGCTTAGTTATAATTATAAATGAAATAATGATTGTAGCTGCAGCAAAGGGCCTAGGCAGTCAACCTCTCTCCCACGTAAAGGTAGTGCGTGCAACTGATCTGGCACTTCTTGGAAGCATAATTATTCTTTTCCTTGGGATAATCAATATTATCAAAGCCTCAAGTAGCACAACCATAAACCACAGCTCCCCAGAAAAAAGAAGGGCAAAGCTATTTGTATCAAAGTTCTTAACCTGGCATGTTTAACTTCATTAGAAATTTGCAATTACAGGTAGCCAGCCCACTTTTAGTTGATTGCTTGGCTTCAGTTTTATTAGATCCTACAATCAATATAGAGTTCCCAAGGACTTACATAATTTCTCTACTAAAAGACTTCAACAAAACTTAAACAATAAAGGGGTTTCAGAAACAATCAACCAGAAGATTTTCAGAGTTACATCATGGTTACTAGTTAATGCCAGTACAACTTATTGCAGAAAGAGTATATGAAATAGGAAGCCAGAGCATAATTAAACCTCAGCAATGTAGATAAACATCCATGAGATATAAATTACAACCAAAATTAGACATGACATTTGGGAAGAGAAAGATAGCTAATATGCTAAAGCTCAGCTGGTAGACTAATAAAACAGCCTAACTAAGGTGGTGTATGGTATGATGAAATGATTTTTGATAGAATGGAAATGAGAATGGAATGGAATCAAGATTCTTATGAGTATATTTGGTGCACACTAATGGAATGAGGATTCCCATTTTATCATTATGTTTGGTATGTTGGAATAGAGATAGAAAAGTAAACAAAAAAATGTTCAAAGACAAAAATACCCTTTATTATAAAGATTTAAAAATTAAAAAAACTTTTAATATATTTTAAACATATTAAAAAAAATTTAAAATTAATTTTTTTATTGTAACATTAAAAGTTATAAGTTATATATATAATATAAATATATAATAAGTGACATATATAATAAGTTATATATATTATATAAATATAATAAATGATATAATATATCATATTATACAATTTATTATATTATACTAGATATATATAATACATAATCATATTATACAATTTATTATAGTGTAATATAATATATTAATATATAATATTATAAATACTTATAATTTTTTATATCTATAAAATATTTTCGTCATTTACTTAAAAATTAAAGGATAATGTAATAATTAATATCTAAATAAGGATTCCATCACCCCAGTGAAGGAACCCGGATTCCTTCATTTGATGGAATCTTCTTTCCCTAATAAATGAGAATTTTCATTTTAAAGTAACAACCAAACATTTTTTTTTTACATTCTCATTCCCATTCCCATTCCCTCAAGAGGATTTCAATGTACCATACATCACCTAATAGATCAGCTCACCAGGATATAAAAAGAAAATGTCTAGTGTACACTTGAATGGGAAGAGGATTTATTGCATCAATGTATAGACCACAAATGGAAGCAACAGCAATAGAGCAAACAAAAATTATCTTACCATTCTTGATAACATGAATCTCACAGTCCGTGGACCATAAACCCGATGTCGAGATGGCTTCTGGACCTTCGCATAGAAGGAACCAATATCTGGCAATGACAGACAACCCCTACTAGCTCTGCCTAGACTACTATCTGGCTCGCCATTAGTCTGGTTATGCCAATAAATCAGCTGCCCTAAACAATAATTTTTACCATATGTTTTATGATATTCCTGGAAACCTGACCCCAACTTATCACTGTACTTGGGCCCCAGGTCAAGAGGACTAATGTAAACTGGTGAGGAAATAATAGCCTTGTACTCCTGCATGCATAAATCAAATCAGATTCAGGCAAAGAAGGCAACACAAGCTATAGTTCCAAGTTTTGTAAAATTTTCGACCCAAAAAAAGGAAGAAAATTGACGCCTACCTGCACCCTAAAGAAGCTCTTTGTATGAGCATAAATGTGAATCAAATCAGCAGCAGCATCATGCCTACACTTATATGAACACGGAAGGTTCCGAACCTCATCCCTCAACCTGAAAAGAAGGTATAAGCAGAACAGACTTGGATGCCTTCTTTTATAAGAAAATAAAACTGCAATTCAGAATCATCATGTAACAAGAGCAATCATGCTTAAATGAAGAGACTGTGTATGCAGCTCACCATAATAAAGATCTCCGAAGCTCCTTTTGGACATCATCAGAAACAGATGGATCATGAGCATGAATCTTTGATTTAAGATCAGTTAGCAAAACATCATCCACATGAGGAGCAATGCACTGAATGAGTTCTTCTACAAGTGAACCCTCCCCTTTCCAGAGAAAGGAAATTGCTTCTTCAGGACTCAGCCTCTCCAGTGGGGGTGGAGCTTTCTTTGGGTCATCAAAAACACTTCTCATGACATACCTGACCTGCAAAGGATTGACAATATCAAATACAATTATCTTTCATCTTCTTCACAGATGCCACTAGACTAAGCTCCAAAGCCTCATTAATCATGCAATAAGAGTGACATATAACTAGCGCATTGTCCCAATCACTAACTCCCAAATTATCAGAATACATGCGCAAAAACCAAGCATCAACTGTCAACTATTTGACATCTAAACACAAAGAACAGACCCATTTCTTTGTTCCTTATTATTGGATTCATTTTCAGAGGTACCAACTCTGATCGTTCATGTATCATGTCTTCTTGGATCATGCTTTAAGTTCCTGCATTCGGGGTCTTAATAAAACAGATGCTCCCTATATACAAGAGAATTAATTTTTGAGAAAATGACTTATAGCTACCTTGTCAAGAGTAAGAGCCAAATTCTGAAGCCTTTGGTTGTAGACGCCCTCAGCCTGCCTCGTGCAACAAAAATAGAAGAAATCAATATCAGAGATTGTAACCAAACAACTATGTAACAACGAGCACATTAATCCAGACATAATCTAACAAAGCAAACAGAAACTGAGGGAGGGAGAACTGCCAGAGGAGAGGTTTCCATAAGAAACATTCACCTGCACCTCAGCATCGTTTTTCTCAACATCAATGGAGATATCAGCAAAGTATTTCCTCTTCTCTTCCAAATTATGCCTCAAAATCTCATCAGGAAGCTTAGTTCGCTCAAAATTTATAAATCTCACCTTCACACAGACAAATGTGTCAAAAAAACAGTACCTTTGAAAGGACAAAAGAGCAAGTATAAGACCTAGTATAGACATATACCAAACGGGCTGAGTACGCAATCAACCAATCAGGCAATCCGCCAAGTAAACAACTTCCCAAACCAGCCCTACCCAAGTCAATATAATCTTCTTCAGAAACAAAATTTAATTCACAAGCCTCTAGCAACAAGTGATGTCGATCAAGTATCCCGTGCCACTCCTTCAGAACCTAATGCACATTAGAATCCAGTTAAACAAGAGGAAGAACAACCAACAACAATAATAACACTCGAATAAATTCACTAGAAAGGAGAATCCAGTAGACTGTGGATGCTCAGAATATATAAACAAACATAACTGGTTCAAGAAGAATGATAATCAAGCAAACATTTTATACATTGCAGCTTAAATCAAAATCAAAATTAAAATCTGCAGTATAATCTAGAAATTGTATCCATATTATTCAAGTTCCCATTTTTAATTCTTCATATACTTAAATTTTTTCTCTCCAGCTAACAACAGATTATGCAATCCTCCTGCTGAAGTTACAATTTGATTCTAGTTATATAAGCCTGCATACCTTCTGAAAGGCTCCTTCACCTGTCAGATTCAAATAGCTCCCACGGCAAACCTGGCTTCCACACAAACAGATTGATGCTTCATATTCTTCTTTACTCTGCAAGGTAATTAGCAGATGAAATTGCTAACTTTAGCATAATGGTAGAAGTTATTAACAGCCATGGTAAGTCATCATCAAAAATAAAAGAACTTGATAAGCTAAGGGCACATACCTCTGTTACAGAATTGTAATCAAACGTGATTTCTTCACCATATTCAATCCGACGTGTAGCATATATTCCAATCTGATACTGACCATCCACAGCAGTAACTCTGAACGTAACAGTAAAAAAAAAAAAAGGAAATGAGTATATCACATATACCATATTATAAAACTATAACAATTCAATCATGTAAGCAGAAAACAGGTGACAAAATTCTATCAGACAAATAAAATTTCCTTAAAAGACGTGAACTCACTATTTAAGGACATAGATAATGTAAGTGCTCATTGTCTAAGAAAAGAATCATGAGTGTTCAGAATAAGTGCGAAAAATAAAAGAATGTTTTTCCACCATTAACTCCAATCTCCTTATCTGCAACTAAACCCTCACCAAAAAGACAATTCTGCCTTCACAAACCCCAGATACAGCAGTTCTAAGGTTTCCATTTATTGTGGCATGTTAGATTCATAATTTCAGATTATAGGGATTAGGTTAAATGAGGGGTTATCTAGGGATAAGAGGATCTGAAATTAGGTCTGTTTTATCTAAGAAGAATAATTTTTATAAGAACATTATAATAGGTCGAATAGACCCATGTGAAACTTCCTACTTATGCGGTCTTCAATATACACTATACAAATGTTACAAACAACTATCCACAATCATTCGGTGGGTACAACTAATCAGGCAGTCCAGCATTTCACAAAAAATTGGGAAAATTAGTAAATATTGGTTGCACAAACTTACTTTGCCTCACAATTAGGACGACATGAGTGACAAATTCGACTCGCATAGTTTGCTTTGTGCATTGCATCAACAACAACTAAATCATATCCATCAGCATCGCCCTGCCAAATGAGAGCACATGATCAAATAAATATATGAAAATAATCAAGAAACAAGAGGACATAAAACTATCAAACAGAAAATTTGGTCGAGAAAAGCAGAAACCATACCTTCGGCCTCTCAAGATAAATGTTATAGAACTCTGGCGCAGGATCTTTGCTATTTTTTTGCAAAGAACGGATGCCATCTTGTTTCTCAAACCATTTCCAAGCAGGATAAACCTATATTTATCAGGAGGAACAGGATTCAGCAAAAATCTCATCATCATTGAACCTTTTTACAACTTACTTAGAAACCAAGCATCCTGTTCCAGGCCGAAGTAAAGTAACTGCATTTTATACATATTTATTTTCTAAACAATTAAACAAAAAAAAAAAAAAACTAAGTCGTAATTAGAATTAGGTTCAGATGAGGAATACCTTCAGCAAGACAACTAGGTTAGGCATTTTAAAATTCAAAAGGAAGGTGCAGTAAGACCAATTCTGACAATAAGAAAAGAATAAAATTCCCAGACCTCCTACTGAAGGCGATCTAAGTGCTCACCGTGTTACAGAAATTACAACCAATTTAGGCACCAAACAGTAAGCATGAGCCCAGAAAAAAGCTGATACATATACCACAACATATGGAGAAGTTATTGAAAAGCTCAAAATGTAGTCATGATAAAATGGACATTCCCGGGGACTAAGTAAGCTGTTCTAGCATATACCAATGAAACCAAAAACATAAGCAGTCTAATAACAGCAGCAAAACATTCCAAGACTTAGATTGAAAAAGGTAAAGAGAAAAATACACTCTCCTTACTTTACAATAATGAGATTAGAAACCACTAAAGATTCATCCAAAACCCAAGCATTAAAAATAGAAATTATAGAAGGCTGAACTGATGCACAATTTGGACCATCACAAACTTATCAAATAGACATGCTACACGCAACAATTCATAAAAGGCCAACACTGATGCTCTGAATATGCATAAAGGATTATTTATAAGAAGAAATATCGCTGTGAAGAAGTAGACAACAACAGCCGCAAGGCCATATTACAAAAATGGGGAATTATTAGCTTTTCAAATGAACCCACAATTTGCAGAGAGGTTCGGAGGACATACATCATTTCACATGAAAATTCATAAAAGCCCAAGAAGGTGAAATACGCAGTCATACCTCGCCCAAAAACTCCACAATGAAATCATCTCCACTAAAACCACCTTCTTTATTGCAAACAACACCAAGTCCCTAATCAAAATATCCCAATGGAAAATTTTAGAAAACATAATGGTATAATAATAGCAATCCAAGCCTTCAGATAAGCAGATAGACTTAAAAACAATTTAATCAATCCCAAGTTGCAAATACCTTCCTATAAGCAACATAATTATCCTCAGGGCGACTGCTAACTGCATTTAGGATACATTCACAAATTCGTGCAGTTCGTGTGTCATGATCTTCATCAGCATTTTTTAAGATTTCCTCTATAACAGGCTTCAGATTATACATCATAGGGGTATTTCCAGTGCCCGTAAAGTGTTGGACCTGTTTATTCAGAACACGAAGGACAGCATCTTCAATAAACCTATGTTTTTCTTGCAGAGTCCAATCTGATCCCTCTGGCATTGAATCAAGAAGAAGATTATGAGTATACGGATCTATGCCATAAACTTCTTGTTCTATCACCTCATGTCCAAGCTGTTTTCTAGGCTTGTAGTCCTTAACTTCAGGAATCTCCATATCGGATTCATCAGTACCATTTCTCTGAGCACTGAGCTTCTCTTCATAGTCATCGGGTAATGAAACCCGCATCTTCCTTTTTACTTCATCCTCATCCACCACAATAACATACCGATCAATTACTTCATACTTTCTAGTAACAGGCGGAACAAGGCTACCCTTGGTCATTCGAGCACCCCATTCACGTTCGTCAGTCAGAGAATCGAGCCCATCATCTTCAATAAAGTATCCATCCCCTCTTGACTCCCCGATTCGACTTTCTGATTGGAAATCGGAATCACTCTCTGTGTCTGAGACAGTACTATCACTATCAGTCTTGGTTTCCTCAGAAGATCTGTCAAATTCATCAGATGTGTCACTCTCAGAGGCAGCATATTTCTTATTCAACCTGGACAAACGCCTTCTGATTTCTCGGTCAGAGACATAATCTCCGTAATCAGAACCACCATTAGGATAGGAAGAGCCATTACTCCGAATAGTTTTCTTTTCTGTCACTTTGGTGAGCTTCTTCTTAAACTTTGAGATAGGGGGGCCAAACCCTCCAGTTGAATCATCTTTCCAATTCTTCATTAAGTCATCTCTTCCATGAGAAAGTTTCAAACTATGTTCCAAATGAGTGGCAAGTCTAATAAATAACGTGACAATGCGATTCATATCGCCAGTATCACCACGATTTTTTGCTCTGCATTCACATAACATGGACAAAAAACCAGACGAAGGAGAAAGCAACAACGTTAGTACACAAGAAACTAGAAGTAAGAATAAAAATGATGGCAGAAAGAAATAGGCAGATGGGCAATAGAAGGAAAAGTGTTCGTGCATTGGAAGAGCAAACAATAAATCCAAATTTTGGTACTTGAATTATGCTAGTTACTTTTTCCCCCTAGATAACAGCTTCAAAAATGTTTCCAAAGATGTCTTGTCTTTATTTCCAAAAAAATAATATACATTTCTGGAAAGCAAACAAAACAGAACAGAAGCATTTCTGATCCTCAGCCTATGTCACAGAGAAGCAAAGAATGGAAACAAACAAGTCAGACACATTTATAATCCTCAGCCTGTATCACAGAGGATATGAAACAGAATATCAGGATAAACTATAGTTTTTCACTGCCAACCGTTCCTTGGAGTCTTCCCAACTTTCATGGAAATTTAGAAGTCAAAAGAAGTAACATGATTTCTGTATCAGACAAGTTTAATATACACAGAGCATACTATAGCAAAATAATAAATAAACAAATAAAGCAAACCCACTTGATTGCATCCCTGCACATTCGACTGATATCCTCTTTCACAGAGCTCAAGCCACGAGCAGCATAGTAACCATCCTTCATTCTTTCCTCAATTTCAGCAACCTGGCCAACAAAAATATTTGATTGCATTTATTTTAATCACAGTTTTGCATAAAAAAGCTAAAAAGCTAAAATCCAAAAGCTAGATGGTACCTTGGGCACAAAAAATTCATATGTATTCTCCTTCATTATGTCTTTCAAACCCAAGGCCAGAAACTCCTCCATCCTTTTATAACTATTTTCAGATTTTTTGATGGCCAAACGCCTCAAATGAGCATCCCTAGATAAGATGGATGAAGACCTTCTAGCATCAAATATTTTTGAACGTTTATACAAGCTTTTGTGGAATAATTGATTTGCTGAGTCCCTCCTATTCAAACTTTCAAAATAATCTCTCAGTCCACTTGAATCATCCACATGAGTATCCAATCCATTATGGCTTTTGAAAAGAGATGAACTTCTCTCATTTATGAGTTTAAGACTCCTTGTTCTTGAATTTAAACCTCGGCTCCTGACCCAATGAATATTTGCAAACTTATCAGCCAAATCACCAAACTGGCTACAGCCTCTAATATCTATGTAGCATACAGAAGGAAACAGCTTAATAATCTCTTCAAGCATGCCAGAAGAGATGTTGGTGCAACCACGTAGAACCAATGAAGTTATCCTCTCTTTCTTATAGCCATTCTGTAAGCAAATAGAATTAGCATTAGATTTAAAAAGGGACTACACTACTTCCACAATGTGGTAGTAAAGTACCCTGACCTAGAAAAGGAAAATAAAATCTCTATAAGCAAACAACATAATTTTATAAGAAAAAGAAATATAACAAGTAAAGTCTACCATGAAATTCCAGAACATGGAGTCATTGCAACAATGGGCAATAGACGATAAATCAACATGTCTGCAGATATCCTTGTAAAAATTGAGCACTATTCTCCAGCGCTTACAAGCCAAAGCAGCAAAAACAAGGGATTTTACATCGGTTCTGAGAAAATGAAAGACTCTTGCTAGAATATGACCATCCAGCAGACCCCAGCTACCAGTCTCATTCTCAGCATTTGCATTCTCATCCTTGCAAAAATTTGCCTCTCCCCACAAATCATCAAATGTGCATTCTTCCTGGGCTGCTGGTGCTTCTTCCTCCATATCATAATCTTCTTCACTTACTTCAGCCATCAACCTGGCTCTCTTCCCTGCTAACATAGATCATTTCCATCATTAATTCATTCGTCTTTCATATTTTTTAGCCAAGCAGAAGATGTGTATCTTGCGTAAGTATGCAAGAAACTTAAGATGTACACCTAAAAGACAGATTATCAAGAAATATGGGTTGCAGGACCACATCTAAAGATCCTGAAACCAAAGGTGCAAAAAACATACAATACATCAATTAGGCCATATTTCACCAGAGCGGGATTTAAAAGCATTGAATCATTAGTGTAGGATAAAGGGGAGCACTGAAGATGGTAGGATTAAGTTGTAGGTCCTGTGGGATACAATAAAGTGGGATTGGATAAGATGAGATTGGTGGTGGGATAAAGTCAAGATTAGAATTGCCACAGCATAAGAAAAAGTGGGTCCATAAACTTATTTATCATTTGATAGGCACAAATTTTTGGTTGTTAGAAGAAAATCAAATGTCTGCACTTCTTCTCTGGAGGTTTATGAATTGCTAGAAGGTGGTTGGAACACCTTATCACACACAGGGAGCTAGTGCCCCGCCAAATGACTTGCCCATAGCTGAGCTGAAGCAGTGAATTACAGATGAATATATTTACAAAAGCTTTCCAACACAACATATCAGACAATAATATCAAAATATGGTGGATAACGTAATCTCAATATCCACGGTGCAGAGGCACTAAGGTTGGTTGGTTAAAAGAGAAACAACACTAGCATCTCAACTGAAATCTCTAATTTGATCCCATGCATATGTCCAAACAAGTGCAGAAAGATGGAACACGTGGAATCAAGAATAATAGGTACAGAAATCGTAAGTTAAATTGGATTTCAAAGCACAAAGCAACAATCTACATCACTCCTTGATCTGAAGATCACAACATGAATGTAACAGAAATGATCTTTCAAGAAGAAAATAAAAACAGAAGAAAATGCTTAACAACAATAAAACAAAAAAGAGCCACTAAATCACAAATAGCCCAGAGAGGACATTGCAGGTATGAATTCTAAATGCATGTCAATTTAAAATACAAGATAGATTCTCACAACTCAGATCCAGAAATAATAATTCCCTCCTACTAAACAATAAACCAGGACTTTTACAGAAGGATTTTCCATACCTGAATTGTGTATGTGTTTTTCCATTTCCTTCTTTGGCTGTTTTTCACTGATCCATAGATCTAAAACCTCATTTATAGCTGCAGCAAATTCGCGACTCTTATATGATTTCATGATCAGTTCATGGAGCTTCCCTCGAGTAAAGCCAACAAATTGCGGGTGCAAGTTGTGGAATGAATGAGAAATGGTGCATCTATCTAGTGAAGCACCAGATGATTCTATTATAGAAGATCCAGAAGTATCACTAGATGTTCGATTAATCTCTTGTTGGATCTTGATATTTGCTTCAGAAGCCCAGCTGCTGCAGAGGTGATTGGAACCCAAACTCTATCAATTTTCCTGAAAACACTACTATTCTTCTGGATTATTCCTTTATCTGCCAGGACTTGCAGCTCTGAAAATAAAAATGGACCTCGTTCATGGCCAGCACCATCAAGGTAGTACCACTCACCTAAATGTAATTGCAAATCATTTGTGGTGCAAACTCTATCTTTGGGAATATTCATAGACGTGATACTCTTAGAACAGACATGCAATTCTTGTTCATAAACTCTAGATTGAGAACCGCTTTCTTCCGATGATCTCTTCATATCACTACTCCCAGAGTTAGGTCGAGCTGAACTTGAAGTGTGTCGGTCCTTTCCTCTGACTTTCGTACGGGGCAAGGAAACAAATGAGCCATGGTCCTTCACCACACATGCATTTATCCTAATGACAGGAAGCATAGTTCCTTTCACTCCTCTTGCAATAACAGGCTTCAACTGATTCAATCTACTAACACCATTACAATCATTCAGATCATCTGCCAAGGAAAAGGCCCATGGAGGGAGGTCAAGCTTTCTATTGTGAGAAGGATAGTACAACTCATCCTTCCGATGCCATCGAGGATCTTCAATTCCAGATTTTGGCATCTGGCATAAGGGATAGCCATCATTGAGGACAAACTTCTTCTTCCAATATCGATCTTGGGCAGCTTCATCTTGCCTCGTCCAATCCCCACCCTTGCATGACCAACCGCAAGCAAACCAATCACTAGAGTCATTATAGTCAACAGCACCATCCCTATCAAACGGAGTGGCTGACCCTTCTATACTTTCCATCACTGCAAATTCAGTGTACGCATTGCCCGTATTTTGATCATGCACTTCTTTCTGTTCGCCAGAGTGAAAACAATGCCAAGTGAAGCCTGCAAACACCCAAAATAAGAGCTTCACTGTAAGTCTGAAAACACATGAATAAAATACTTAAAAACATGAGACTTATAGTCTATAATACATATTTGAAACAAAGAAATTCCAAATTTCTATAATACGTATTTGAAACAGAGAAATTCCAAATTTGCCGAAAGTAATATCACATATCACTTTAAGGTCATTTGGTGTCACAAGTCTTTAGGCTTTTTCAAAGGAAGATCAAAGTGGAAATCTTCTTCTTTCATAATTCATCACTATGTTTTCACTTGTTCTAGTAACTAATAAAAACACCCAATCTGTTTTTTTCCCCTTTAAATCATTTGGACGCACAAAAATGCAGTCGAGCCTCACATCATGATATAGGTTCCTTCTTTGTCACTAGAAGGTCTCAGGATCAAGCCTTCAGTTCATCTAGAGAGTAGGGACAAGACTGCATCCATTGATAACTTTCCCCTAGCCTCACAAAATGGGAAGCCTCATACCCCCACAATGCCCCTAATGTGGACACATAAAATTTCTCTGCAGCAGAGCACTGTAGACCACCATGTCCGTGCATTGATGCATGGTTAACAACAATGAGAATTAATAAAGTCTTATTGCTCATTCAAGATTAGAATAAACCGAAAAAATGACCTTTCAATAAGAATAAACATAAGGAACTTGATTAATCACTCGAGAGAAATGACTTTTCAAGGCAGAGGATTACACAGTACAGTGAGAAATGATTAATCACTCAAGTGAGGACAGGTTTGAAAGGCATAAATGCCTGAAGCAGATTATCGCAACAGTATCAATGAATTCAAGATACATATTCACCCAAGAGAAATACCTTCAGAATTTCCCCATTTCTTCCAGTCTCCATTCTCTAACTTCAGTTGCAGTGCTTCTGTAGAAAAAAAAAAAAAAAAAAAAAAAAAAAAAAAAAAAAAAAAAAAAAAAGAAGAATTTCAAAGTAAGGTATACCAAAATAAAAGGATAACAATGAGTAGAAAAGTAAGAAAACAGCAAGAATAAAATTTTACCGCCAACTGTCTCAAGTTCCTGCCCTGGAATAACATTATAGCCCTCCAACAACGCCCCAACTCTTTCATCAATGTGGAAATCTTCTAAAGGCTCAGAAGACACTGAACTGTCATCTGGGCAAAATGTTGGTTGCAGCAACGTGGATGACATTTCCTCACCAAGCTGGTTACCACACTGAGTAGTTTCTCCAACATCTACCAACAGATTACCAGGAGCCTCAGGAGGGTTCACCAGCCGAGTAACAGTGTCTGATACAATAGAAGGATAATTCAGAGTCACAGAGGGAGAAACTGCATTTTCAACAGTAACCCACCTGTCACTGTCCAAGTGCTTAATCAAATGATCTGATACAAGAACTCCTTCTTTCATAAGTGCCTTCAGATCACACAGTTTGGAAGGCCCACGTTCAACACCAAAATGATCAAGATACATCCATTTTCCTGTTGTTGAATCCAGTATCATTGGCACATGTGGTGGTGTGTCGCATATATCCATGTCCTCCTCCATTGATGGAAGTTCTTCGTTACTGCCATTGGCCTGAGGAGACTCTTTACACTGGACTCCTTGATCTTGAGACTGCTCTTCCACATGAGATTGATGCTCAGCAATTTGCTCAACTGATCCATTCCCAGTAACCAAATGGGTTCCATCATGAGATTCTTTACCTGTTATATGAGAATCTCTTCCATGAGGATCCTTCGGATCAGGCTTCTTTTCAGGCCCTTTATTCCCATAATGGCTCGATCTCTTTTCACTTCCTCCACTTTTCCTATTAGTTTCCCGGTGACTATTGGGCCTGCTCCTATCAAGCGGGGAGTGTTCCAAGAAGTTAGGAGTCCGATCCCTTCGGTCATGATATCTCCCTCGCTCATGTGGGGATCGATCAGAGTAGCTAGGACTTCGGTTTTTATGATCAGAATGACGGCTTCTATCATGTGGTGACCTCTCACGACACACTGGACTCCGGTCCCTGTGGTCAGAATGCCGACTTCGGTCGCGTGGAGACCGCTCAGAATGTCGGTCCCGTGGCGATGGATCAGAATGCCGGGGACTGGCATGCTTGTCATAAGCCACCCTAGAAGACAAAGATGATTCATGATGTCTGGACAAGTACCTGTCAGAGGCAGCATTCCTCGAGGAAGATGAATTTCTGTAAGGCCTCTCAACAGACCGGCGTGAATAGTGCTCTGAATATGTGGAGCGACAACCATCATCAGAAAGTCTCCTGCTTTTGGAGCTTGTATAATCACCATATTCTCCATAATATTTACGATCAGTGCTTTCAGAATCATTACCATGCCGCTTCAACCGATTGCCAGCTGAGTATTCTCTTCCGTGATGCTTTCCATTGCCATGTTCGGTCTTGAAGGTACCTTCCTCATCTACAATTTTCGAACCCAACCTCAGATTTCTATCTTGGCCAGTTTCCCGCTTAGAGGACCTTTTCAAGTGAGGACCTCCAGTTCTACTGGACTCTTTATCAACTGCATACTTACCACATGGAGGAGTTCGCTCTCGCTCACATTTCCATCCCTTGTCCTTAATTGGATCATCCCGACGCATTTTGTCTCTGACCACTTCACTTCTATGCCACCTTTCTGGGATAAACTCTCCTTTCTCAATTTCAGATTTATAACCTCTCCAGGATCCAAATTCTCCTTTCTCGGGCTCTCCTTTTCTATACTTCTCCAAAGTATCATCCCTTCTGGACCTGCCAGAATTAAACTCCCATTTGTCTGCATGTTCTTTCCGCCGTATTCCTGGAACAAATTCTCCCTTTTCTAGTTCCCCTTTCACCCATTTCTCATCTGGGCACTCCCCTTTCTCAATTTCACTCTTTATCGCAAACCTTCGTGGGTTGTCAGGGACAAACTCACCATTCTCCACGTCCACTCTTGGCCACTTCAACGAGCCCAATTCACCTTCCTCTATTTCCTCCTTTGGGGTCTCGTCTCCACAAACTTCACCGTTCTCAAATTCTTTGCTGCTCTTACCTCCCAATTCAACCTTCCCGGACTCTGTCTTCTTTGAAATTTCCTCTCTTTTCACTTTCATCTTCATCTTCCGCCCTGTAACTTTGAGCGACTTTGAATTGAACTTGCCATTGTTGCCTCCGCAAAGAGTCTCAGAAATCGTAAAGCGCTCCATAACATGTTGCGAAGGCACGCATGCAACGCCGCCATCGCCCATGGAAGTCCAGCCACTGCCCCCAAAACACGGAAACCCTAATTATCCCCTTCGCCGGGGCTTTCGATGCTCATACTGCAATTACCTCGGCTCTCTCAATCTCTTCGCCAATTCGATACCCTAATGCAACAAGAAACAAGAAACACGTCACAAATCATACATTAGTACATCAAAATAACAATGTAAGGCATCAGAGCAGAAACATACGCTTCTGCATCTGAACTTCAAACTTCAAATCGACGAACCGAAAGAACAAAATTCAACGCCAGGAAATTTAAACCCTAGGGTTTTGAATCAAACAGGAAAAAGAAGAATACAGCTTACAAGAAATCGTATAGGTGAGTCGACAGATCAACGGGTAAGCGAACGCTCGGAGAGTTCGCGATGCCAAGGGCGCGGGCAAGGGCTCGAACAGGCACGCAGATCGACATCGAGACGTACAACGCTAGTATCTGCTAAATCTCTCACACTTTCTGTCCGTGTATGTGTATTTCGCTTTCTATTCCTCCCCTTAAATCATTCTTAGTTATTGCGCTGGCTCCTAGGAACGAAAACCTTGTAGCATTTTTTCTCCCTTTCCTCTTTTTTATTGTCAAATTTCCCGTTTGGCTACCTTCTCTGTATTTATTGACGAAGTGATTTACTGGTAACAGAAAAAAATGTGAGAACAAGCTTCGCTTGGCGAGGGACCGTGCATTTTACCTTATTGACTTCCCGGTCCGGGCAGCGGGCAGGTTAGCTGAGATTACCCGATTTGCGAACCCACCGATAAAGCGATATATATAAAATCATATATCGCGGCAAAAAGCAAAAATTATAAGAGGTTTATTAGGTAGTGTAAAAAAACCAAAATTTTAATATATAAATTAATTTTATATTTCCTATGATTTTAGTATTCAATATAAAGACTAATTAAAGTTCAAGCTTTTTATTTTATTAAAAAATAACCTTTTATTCACACTTATTACTTACAGATTATTTTATTTGTTAAAGAGAACTTTGAAGATAATTTTTAATTAAATATCTTTGTACATTTGAACTTTTATTATTATATTCATAATTATTTAAATAAATAATTATATTTTTATTCATGTTTGATTTCTTTAAAGAAATTCAAAATAAATAATTATAATTTTTGGACGTATTAAAGAAACTAAGAAAGAATTTGGCAAGAGGTTTTTTTTTCTAAATAATTTCATACACTGCAAAAACTATAATGCTTTATAAGGCCGAGTAAGGAAGGAAAACTAAAAAATAAAAATAAAAAAATGAAAATGAAAAATGTCTTATTAAATTGAGTTGAATAGTTTTAAATTACAGCTTAATTTAAAATTTAATATTATACAATTGCTTATAACTCACTATCCAATATAGTTTATTTATGTTAAATTTTAGAAATTTTTTTCCTAAAAGACAAGTAACTCGCATATACGAAGAACTAATTGTAAAAAAAAAATTTTAATTAAAATGAAAATGATGATTTTATAATTTCTCAACATTTCAATCATCCGAGCTACGCATGAAGTATGCTTAGTACTAGAATAGTTGAATTAATGCGGAAATTCAAATGAAAAAACGATTAAATAATTTTCTAATAAACGGAAAATGAGGTAAAAAAATATTTAATTTTATAAACCAACAAAAATTTTTAGTTTCTTTTTTGCTTTATTTTCTCTTACATTTTTTTTCAAATTAAGGTAAATAATTTTTAAAACATATAGTTTAATATAAATTTAGACAAAATGATTCTCTGCAAATTTTTGTCATGGCACTGTGCTTGGTAACTAGAAACCTGCTCTGTGGTACAAAAATATAAGTAACAATAATATAGAAAATATTAATTTACAACCAAATTACTAGGCTATCCTTGGTAGAATTGGAAATTTGATGAAATCGTTTGAAGATTCTCGCGAAGTTTAGGGAGGTAATTTGGTAAATTTGGATGGCATTGGTTGCTGTTGGACATTAAAGCAGGGGCAGGGAGATTTTTGTAAATTCGGAATTGGAATTTTTTTCCTTTTTTTATTTCGGAGACCGCATCGGCGCTCAATTTTTAGGGATTAAAATATTCCCAAAAAAAAAGAGTTGAACAGTAGAAATGGCCGGAGGGAGTTGGGAGGTTGACTTTGGATTGCAATTGAATCTCCCAACCAAAATTGAAGCCCGTTTTTGTTGGAGCTTCCAGCGGCCAATCAGATTCTCAATATTTAACAATGAAATCACCTTTTTGGGTTCTATTAAATTAATGATGCATATTTTAGGAGAAATATTTTTGGGGGTAAAACTGGGCTTGTGGCGTCCACGTGAGAGATGCGTACTGCCTCGCAGTGTCAATTTTGTAATTTACATGGAAATAATCGGACAAAAGAGACACTTCATTTGAATATTAAATCCCAAGAGCAAGGCGAGGCCTTATCCCCTTTCACTACTAGGTTTGATCACTATGGATGCAATTAACATGGAATCAATACTCTAGGTGAAATAATTTTGGGATTGTCCAAAGTATGATGTAATTAAGAATGCCTAATAATGGACATATATACGTGTATCTATATATACTTACGTATGTATAAGCAAAGAGAACAAAAATAGAAGAGGTCGGTACAATTATAAAACAAAATTTAAAAAGTTATAATAAAAAACAATCTAATAACTACTTTTCATAATTACATTTTTATTATAAATTAATAAAAAATCAATGTTATTATGGCAATTTTATTTTGTTAATACAGAGCTTGTTGGGTGAGGAAAATTTGTGCTTCAACTTATTTTTGGAAAAACAATTAAGAAAATAATAGTTACCTCTTGGTTCAATCATGGAGGTGGGGCTGGTTCTTTATGTTTCGGGAAGTTGTCTTGAAAAGGAAAAGCAAAACTAGCTTAAACAGGAACTAAAATTTAGTAGAAGAAATCCTTAAATCAACGGTTAAAAAGCTTAATTTCACTAGCAAATGCAAAAACCTTGTTTCAAAAGTAAGGATAGAAATAAGAAAGTTTGAAATAAAATTAAAATTGTTTAAATATTATGTTTTAAAATTTATAGTCCAATTTTTTCTAGTTTTCAGATATTTGATTTTTGGACTCCAATATCATTGTATTAAGTGCGGCTAAATCATGTTTTATCCTAGCATTAGTGTTATGGCCCAATAATAATTAAAATTAAAAAAAAAAAAACTAGTCGGGCACCAACTGGTGAGAGATCACCATGCACCAACAAATGGCTGATTTTTTTTGCTTAGATTTTCACACACTCTGGGCCTATTTAAACAAGCAAGCCAAACCCTCAACTAATTCTTGTTATCGTGAGAGAGAGAGGGAAATTTTTTGGGTTGGAGTAGTCGACTGTCTGGCAGTTCGCGAGGGGCTTGATTCGATTTTTAAAAGCTTCGATCGGGAGGATTGTCTGATTTGGCATGCTTGTCGAGGTTCACTTGGTTCGGGGCTTCGACGTCTGCACGTTGCTAGAGCTAGGTAATGAAATCCCGATTGGTTTCTGTGTTTCGGGCGGCAGAGGGGTGTTCTAGCCCCGGGTTGGGGACCCAGGTAACCGAGCAAAGAAGACAAGACTCGGAAGGATTCAAGTCTTATCCTATTAGGCCGGGCCAGCTTGGGCTAGGCCTTACCTGGCTGAAGAAAGGACTTGCGGTCTGGGCCACGAGCCGACTTAGACCTGGCAAGCCCGAACGGGGGCGAGGGCGAGTTGACTTGGTAAGTCAACTCGACCCTAAGTTGTTAAAGGCGAGTCAACCCATCCGGGTTGACTCAATGAAAATAGGGATATGCTATCCCTGAGGATAAGGGAAACTTTAATAAGAGCTGATTGGGATAGTGGGAGATAGAATAAACCAAAATTAATTAATTAACAATTTAAAGTTAGGGTTTTGGGCAAGTGAACTGCCCAAGTTTGACCGCCCGGTTCAAAGCCTTTCAGGCCGGTTCTTTGGGCAATTGAACCAGTTATTGGTTCATTTGGAAGAGGGCTATCAGACTAGGCAGTTTTGGAAAAATTTGGATGGCCGATTCAAGGTGAACCGGCTGGTTTAGTGTGATGGCTTTCGAGCGGCTGGTTCATCCATTTTTAGACTAGTTCTTGGAGGAATTGAACCAGTTCCTGATTCAACATGATGAAACCTCGCTACACACGTAATTTGGGAATTTTTGAATGTCCGGTTCAAGGTGAACTAGGACCAGTTTGTGAGTCGGTGCTTAGAATTATGGTTTTTGGGTTCAGTTCATGGCTGGTTTAAGGCCTTTTCAGCCGGTTCAGATCGATTTCTAGGGGTTTTGAGTTTTCTGGATCCATTTTTGAGGGTTTTGTGGCCATTTGAGTTGAGTTAGAGGTAGTTTTGAACTGGGTAAGCTGGTTTGAGGGTTTTGGAGGCTGGTTCGTTGCAGTTTGAGAATTGTGGAGGCTGATTCTGTAAGACTGAGGGTAGTTAAGTAGAGTTGTTGGGCATTAGTGAGTTGGGTGAATTTTGGTGGTGGGTTTGATTTCTCGAGATGCGTGTCAGAGTGTTGGGATGGGATTTTGGACCGGTTTTGGCTACCGAGCTTGTTTCTTGTGCCAGTTGCGACGTTGGTGATAGTTTTTGTGCAATTTTGATTGCAGATTCACAGGCAATGACACACCCAGACCACTGAATCAAGTTAGGTGACTCGGACTCTCTTTTTAGCTTAGTATCTGTACTGTGAGTGACGATACCCTCTCTATCTATGCATTTATACTATGTTTTTCCTGGCATTATGGACTTTGTACTTTTTACTGTACTTTGGCTTATACTACTATGGGATATGTTATATGTTTTATAAAGTGACAGCGAGTTATATTTGTACATTGTTATCGATATTCGAGGCATGATTACGTATGCATATGTGTATGCTTGTTTGATTTGACATGTGGGGAGTTATGCTGTATGATGAGGCTGAGTTGCTCGGTCGTGAGATGAAGGATGCCTTCAACCGGGGAGTGTGACATGTGATTGAGTTGAGCCCGATCGTGAGACGGAGATTCCACCGATTGGGAGATGGGCGTCTGATATGTATGTAATGTCTCTGATCGTGAGAGCCATGAGGCTGGGGTCTCGTGGCGGGAATTGTTGTGCTCCCACATGTTATTGGATGTTACTATTGCTCACTGTATATGTATGTGTGTATGTTTTGGTCTGATTATGTGGTACATATCTCACAATGCATAGTTTAGGTATCATCTTTACGCACTGAGTTTCGCAACTCATACCTTATTATCTTTCTAGATCGAGTTGACTGTTCATGCACAAGATAGCAGTGTTCCAGATTCGCACTACCTGAGTCGATTGATGTACGAGCATATTCTTTTGGTTATTTATTTTTGTACTCTAGTGTTCCCTGTATCTCTCAAATAGGATTCTGTTTATATTTTGGACTGTATGATGTATATATATGGATTGTTTAAATCTCTGGGTATGAGTTCGTGTGTATTAGGCTGATTAGTATCGTGGACTCTAGTGCCGGTCACGGGCCCGGTTGAGTCGTGACAATTAGTCAATATTTTAAAGATAAAATTAATAAGATTCACGTTATATATTTTTTTGTTTTTCTTGTAATATTGTAAAATTTTATGTTTTCTCTATTAAAAATCTGTCTCAAAAATATTCACATGCTTATTTAAAAAGGAAAAAAAAATCTTTGTCTTACCATCAAGTCACTTGAAGTCTTCCA